GATCGTTGAGGCGTCATGCTCACAGTCATAAAAATGTTTAAGTCCTAATGAGCACAATTTAGAACATTTATTTGTTTTTTTTGGAGGGGCCAACCCGGGCTGAGAGAGACACAACATCCATGCAGACAGACCGAGACGTAGATACTCGATAAAAACTTTCCCACTCAGTAATCGAACCTATGCCATCTGCATACAGAGCTTTACCTGCACGCCATAGAGTCCCTGACCACATATGAAACATTTTATAGTGTTTGATCCCTTTTCGACATACTTAAAGAACATTTCAGTTGACACCATCCGTCAGGGCCAACAATCCATGCTGAGAAGACACAGGCAAAATGTGTCTTATAATTAATATTACGGGAGAGCGGGGAGGCTACGGACACTTTTTTACGCTTGGCTTCACAGCTCACTTTAGTGAAGAATGATCCTAGACTGTGTTCCTTGACGTATTTCTGGTTCACTTTGGAAGACGCCACTTGACTCAGATTGAGCTAAATAAGGGAAAAGTGGGGAAGGCACCGCGCGCACGAGACAATAGCGAGACATAATTATATTTTGCCTTTATTTGGGCCTATGCTGAGCATGCTTCCCAACAAAGATTTTACAGATAAAAACAATCAAAAACAAGACAAATGCTTCATCATTTTTGCAAACCATTTGGGCATCACAGCTTGCGATATCAGCTTCGTGCATCATCACGTTTTACCGCCAGAGTATCATATCTAAGGTACCCTATGATGTCCGAAACCACCTCACTCTGCGAAAGACATCGGACAATCGTACGTAGAGGGGTGACTTCGGACAGTGTGTCTCACGTATCAAATGTTATTTTTGAGAGGCACAACTTGGACACAGCAAACATCTATAATTTTTTACGTTTGTTTTAGGCGTGAAAACATATCTCACACTCACTGAAAATAATAGAAAACAGTGACCCCACCAGTCCGTTTTTCCTGCACAAATGTACGTGTGGACTTGAAGTCTCCTCTTATTATTGCAAAACAGAGCTCAGTGATGTCCCTAATAACCGGTTAGTTTTTACAGCAATAAACAGAGATGAAAAGTATTCTTTTCCACGTTAGTTTCCGAGTCTGTTAACGTGTGGATATATTTTTCTCTGCTGAGCGATGCCCCCCCCCCCGGTTCGAATCCAGGTATGTGTGTTCTTGAATTTGGGTTGCTTGAAGAGTTTTCAATAGTTTTC